ACTAAGTAGACCACGAGTCGCTCCTAGAGCCTAAGGGCCAATTCGCCGAGCTAGCTACGACCTTGGCAACACGAGACCCAGTCACCCCCTCGGCAGGGGCAGACTTTAGGAGAATGGACCACGAGCCGCTCCCTCTAGCCTAAGGGCCAATGTGCCGAGCTAACTAAAGACCTTAGCGCTATGCATGACTTAACCATCTCACTAGCATAGGATTATTATTTCAAGGACAAAAGGCGTCTCGGGTACGAACTCTCTGACGCCTAGCCTACCTCGGTATACGCTGCTAGGGGTAAACACCAACCTAAGTAGCCAAGTAGACAGGTCAGGCATGTGCCTTACTATGTCCACCTCAGCGTACGTTGTAAAATCTTATGGTCACCCCTACTAAGTACAGGGAAACAGTTCGGGGTGACAACAGTAAAGGGACGCCCACCTCAAGAACTAAACTCGCTAGCTCAATAGCTCGAGATAAAACAAACACTTCGGCAAAAGAGAATTACACAAACACTTAACAAAATATGTACTCTCATTACATAATATGTGCTTTCATTACAAAAACCTCAATACAAAGGATCAAGAAAAAGAGAAAGTAAAACTGAGCTTGCAGGCCTAGAGTACAAGGAGCACACAACTACTTCGAAGGTTTGTCGACTTCACTCGGAGCCTCTTCGGGGGTGTCAACCAGGTCGGTAGCACCAGCCTCCTCATCGCCGCCCTCCTCTTCGGAGTTTGGGTCATCCATGGCCTGGTGGGCCATGTCGTCTGTGATCCGTCAGGTGGTGATGGCACTTGTGTCGAGGTCGGGGTATGCATGCCTTATTAACCACTTGCTGAGCTTAAACCCCCTACGGTAGACCTACGACATCACATCGTCAAACCTAGATGATTTGACGTAGTCGATGATGGCCTAGACCTTCGTCTCCCTAAGAGCTTGATCGAAGATTTCGGTCTTCTCCTTAATGTCAGCTTTGAGGTACTCCACCTCATGCTCCAGGGTCCCCTTGGCTTCCTTAAGTTTCTGTTCCTCGAGCTGCGAAGCCTCCTGACCCGCCTTGAGGCTCTCCACCTCGAGCTTTAAGGCCTCCTGCCCTGCTTTGAGCCCATCCAGCTCAGCCTTCAGCCTATCCCTCTCGCGGGCTAGCTCCTCCTTCTCTGACAACAGAACTTCAATGAAGCTCTTTTGAGTTGCAGCGTCACCTTCCAACTGATGGATCTTACACCGATCTGCCCTCAGATCAATATGAGTTGCACGAAATGACTCCTCAATAGCCAAAGCCAGCTTCAGATATCTGTCAGACTGATGGGTCAATGAGTGCACGACGGTGTTCACCTGGCAAAAGGAGGTCGATCAGTACCAAAGAGAAAAGAACGAAAGAATGGGAAAATGATTATTCTTAGAATGTGAACTCACCACCATAGCATGGGTTGCAGCGCGGGCCCCAAGCTGACCAGGGGTAAGATCGGCCCAGTCTGTAACCTCTGTGGGGTAGACAGCCTCTTTACTTTTTTGGAGGCTACACTGGGGGATCAGGATGCTCTCCTCCTCCTCTTGGCTCCCCGAGCTGGACACCGCTGTCTCAGTAGCATGATGAGTCGATTCTTCGGAAGCCTCAGTAGTAGCTTCGGCAGGATTAGGAATTTCGGCAGCAGCCCCAGCTGGCTCAGCGACTGGCTCTATCGCCACCTTAGGCTCCTGAGATGGTAAGTCCCCCTCCAAATCTATTACTGGAGGGGTATTAGGGAGCTCCGGCTCTGAGATGGGAACCTGTGGAAGCCCGGGCCCCGAAGAAGGAACCTGTGGGAGGTTGGGCTCAGGGGTGGGGGCAGTTGGGGGCTCTATGCGTGCGTTCTTGGCGGCTCACTTCTTCCTCTTCTTCATTTGATGAAGGAGCCTTTGACCGGTAATCCTCTCTTCCTCCATGGGACATGCAATAGAGCTCGGCATCAGTAAGCTTGAAAACACTTAGCTGATTAAGCGAGACGCTAAGGTAAAAATAGACCTACCCAGGCTCAAACCGGCCTGAATGAGCTTCTCTTCGGCAATGTAATCTTTGTGATCGAACCCGACCTGAGCCCATGAGTGGAGTGTTTCCCTCGTTATCCTGTCGAGAGTAATGTCGGGGTCTTGAGTAGCCACCTTCCAGTTAGTAAGGAAGGGCCACCCCGTGCTGCTCCGGACTACAAATTAGTGCTGCTTCCAAGCCAGGACCTTGCTTGGGAGTTTATGTAACAATTTGAAGCCCGGGTGAGGGGACAAATAGTAGGTCTGCCTGTGCTCGGGGAGAACGCCCGAGGCGCTCTTCTTTATTGACAAAATAGAACAAAGGATATCTATATCTAAGGGAAGGTTGTATTCGAAACAAAGGGAGATAGTCCCGACCACATTTCAAATAGAGTTTGGGTGGAGTTGGTCCAGTGTGACGTTAAATCGTCTTAACACCTTGGGGATAAGGGGGTGAAGAGGGAGACAAAGCCCACTGACGAGCTGCTCCCTAAAGACCACGATCTCATCTAGACCGTGCTCCTAAGGGAAGTTGCCGGCAAGAAGACTATATGAGTATTCCTGAGGTAGGTTGAAGTGTTGGATGAGGTATTGAAATCTCTCTAGCGTCATAGTGGGCGGACCGAACTAATTTGGCACCCGACCTCGGTGGGAGGTGGATGTCAGCCTACCCGAGGTCACTCGTGCCTTGTGGGACGACTGGGCAACAACGGGGTCACCTTGACCCAAGGTACCCACCTCGGGCTCGTTTAAGAAACTATCCCTATACATTGAATGAAATGAACTGAAAAAGGAGAAAGGGAGGCTCGGGAACTCACCGAGGAAAAATGCAACCGAACTAGAACTAGACGAGTTAGAAGACCCGAGCTGAAGACTCCAGACGCGAGCTCAAGCTAGACGAAGGATATTTAGCGCGTGACGTCCGCACATGAGTTGTACGCAGCCCGGATTTTTCCTTCCGAGTGAGCCGAGCGCCAGACCGGTCTGGCCAATGGGTTGCCCGATAGGGTAGCATAAGTGTCAAGTCAAATCCACCCAGCGCACTGTGAACTCCCCACGCTGGGTTAGCACCCCCAGTATGGGGAGTGGGGGGCAATTGATGGAGGGTGATTTGACCCAACCTCGTAGCACAGGGACACGTGCGCGTGACCTGGCTCGACGAACAGCTCAGCCTAACAGCACAACCGTGACTCGACGGGAGGAACCCGCCAAGTCCAACATTGGCCGCTCGGCGGGTTAAGCGACTCGTCGGGGATTAGTGCCCGACCAACCCTGACTCCCACCATGTGTGGGAGATCCCGAGCCCCTCCTAGGGCCCAAACTCCTCCCAGGGCCCAAACTACTCTCAAGGCCCAAGCTCCTCCTAGGTCTCGAGCTCTTCCCGATGAGCTCTAAGCCTTTCCCAAGAGAACACCCCGATCCGACTTGGGGGTCCCGAAGTAGGGACACCACGAGCCGGTGCCCTTGGCTCCTCTGTTGGGGATGCGCCTCAGGTAGATAGCAACTCGGTCCATCACCAGTACCTCGGCATCAGGAAGCTCGGCAGAATGCAGCTCGACTCAAGATAGTCCGAAGGTCCAGAAAATATCTCTCTGACAACACCTGCCGAACCTGGAGGCTGCACCCCTGCCTCTTGGCAGGCGGCGCCGTACCTTCCACCTCTGAAATATGTCTCATACCCGACAGGTACGCATCCTGTAGAGACGGCCCGCGCCTGCCACCTCAGCCCCGAAAACAGCGACTGTCACAGGAGGACAGTGACGGTTGCACCCGATCTGGCAGTGGCAGTTACGCCTGATTTGGTAGAGGCCCGTTATAAAAGGACCACAGCCCCCAAGGGGCCAGGGTAATCTCAATCTCTGCACTTTCTACATTCTTAGCTTCTTTCATACTCTCCATTTTCTTACAGAACTCTAATTTAAGCATCGGAGTGTTCCCACCGAGCGAAATCCCTGGGGATTCTTCATCTCATCCTTCTCCTCAGGTACCCTCCATCACTAGTTAGGAGCCAAGTTTCGACCAGCTAGGAGTGCCCGGATCACGCAACATCATATAATTATAGATGTCAAATATAGGGCTTGTTCGTTACCTCTTAACTTTTATCTCTTAAGAGGAATCTTTTAATTTTAAGAGAAAAATAGTTGTTCGTTTTCTCCTATCTCTTATCTCTTAAAGTGCAATCATACCACTTTTTGCTTTCCAATGGTACTCCCAAAAAGACAAACAAAAACTTTCATATATGGGGTCAAAATAGATATTTGATAATTTTTAGAATCCAGAACTTAGAACAACATTCTCTCCATTAAGAGTTAAGAGGAAAGAAAAATTCATCAATACCAATATACTTCTTAATTTAATTATTGTACTTTCAAATGTCAGACTTCAGAGCAAACGAATTGAATCAGATGTAATTGGATCAGACCCAATTATCATGATTAATAATTAAGTTGATTCTGGGTCTATTTTGTAGAACTGATTAATAATCGGTTCAGGGCTGGTCCAGAATTGAATCACACCCGACCAATTGACAGCTCTACCTAAGTACCATTTGATCTCAATCTAACGGTGGTGCTTAGGAGGCATAAAAGTAAAGTGCTTTAATTCTTCTTTATTTATTTTATTTTTGAATAGATGGAAAACTATAGCAGCTAAAATATCTATGTCATGCATAAGAATGATAGCCCAAATAAATATCCAAGACACTGCCTTGTATGAATTTCTATAGTCATAGTAAGAAATCAAGACCCCACCATGAATATGCCAGAAAATGGATGTATCGATTATCGATCCACATGCATTGTGTTAAAGAACAGAAACCTGTTCTGGGACCTCACCTACTATAGATTATGCTTTTAGGTTGAACAGTTTGTAGAGACACATTGGCCCCACCAATTAATCTTGCCCGCTTTTAGACATAACCATGTATCTTATGCCTCTCAAAAACCAGTATAAATAACACAGGACGATGGCAGAAAGTATGAAGTAGTGAGATCTCTGGATGGAATGATATGAACCCGGTTATGTCCAGAAGAAGTGGAAGAGACAAGAGGAGTAGTATGTTCATGCTTAGGCTTATAATGGGGAAGCTGCAAAGGAGACTTTCAGTACTACACAGAAGGCGACCTTTGGATGAAGGTGACGACGATGAGCAGGTCGATGAAGTTGGAAGTGAGATGGATGTGCCGGAAGATGTGAAGGAAGGACAGTTTGTGGTGTTTGCAGCTGATGCTGGGAATCTTACGAGGTTTATTGTTGAACTGGGTATTCTGAATGATCCTGACTTCTTGAAGCTGCTGCAGCAAGCTGAGGAAGAATTTGGTTTCGAACAAAAGGGTGCTCTGATGGTTCCTTGCCGACCAGATGACCTTCAGAAGATCCTGGGAGGCAAAAAGGAAGGGAGTAGTGCTGCTGCTGGTTGGAATTACTGTGAGAGCACTACATTACATGATTAGAGTTAGATGTGTACAGAAAATGTATTACACTAAATCTTCTTTTCTGTTTAGTTTATATATAGTAGACAGTAGATCATGAATGTAATGTAGGTGTATATGGTTAAATTAATACATGAATTTGGTGTCTTCACACTCGTTAGTCGTTACTGATCAAATAGAAGAAATCAATGAATATGAGATGGTGATTCCACTAATTTTATAACTCCATATATAAACTACATGTCCATGGCAAGCCAGAACAAACTAGGCTTTTATTTTATTTTTGGGTACAGAAACTGGGCCTCAATAATACGTCAATCCTAGCCTACCTGACTACCTCACCTTTTCTTTTCTGTCCAATCATGGAAATAAAGCCCAAGGCAAAGGCGAGACCAGGTGAGATGTGAAACTTGATACTAGGAATCTAGGAGTCTATGGTGGCCGGATCACTTAATGGGCAACTAATACGGGTCCAATTCTATCAGTAGATGGGCCAGGGCCAGGACCATGCCTAATTTTTTGAAGTTTGCTTATTAAATGGATTAGGCCTAAGCCTAACATGTTCAACTCAACCACAGTGTTTTTGGGGTGTAGGTGTGAGTGTTAAAAGCCTTATGTTGAAAATATAGATAAAAATGTAAATCACTTAAATACAAGAATTGATTGATCACAGTCTAATCGCTTAAGCTTGTAGGTTAAGGTCGATATTCTTGTGTATAAATCCTATATATGTGTATAAATTCTTCCATTTTTGTGATTCCGCTCAATGCATTATAAATGCATGGTAAGTCTGCGAACATATTAGGTCTCTAATGGGTTCACATGCCCTCATAGAACTGTCAATGGATCGTGTTTATTTGACAGACCCAATTAATTATGTTACTTTCTGGTTTTGTTTATTGTTTTCATATTAACTAATAATTGGGTCAGGACTGGTTCTTGCTGTTCTGAACCGGTTAAGAGCTAAACCAATTATATAATTAAAAATATATAGAGGCTTTTTGGTTTTATTCTAACTTTTGTTATATTTTATGTCTAAATGGATAAATTTCATAAAAATCATGTAAGATAATCTTGGTTAAAAACACCAATTTATCAACATATAAACAATTTAGTTATTTATGTCCTAAGGGTTGACTTGGCTTGCAGTTAGAATCGGAATCAGAATCGAAATCTCTCAGAATCAGAGTCAATTCTCCCACCTGTTAATTGGTTCAGACAGGAATTGAAATCAGAATTGACTGAAATGGATTCTCATTCTCAAGAAAAGGGGTGGGAATGGTCATTTCTTCAATTGGGGAAATGCCATTCCATCAGGAATAGGAATGGAATTGCTCTGACTCCACCCAACCATTCCCATTTCCGATTCCAAACCCCTAATCCCCGATGCAAACATACACTAAGTTGTTATTGTCTTAGGTAAAATATAGATGTTAAGTATATCCCGCGGTTGATAATTGATTCAGTTCTGGGTATGTCTTAAAGAACCGATTAATGATAGGTTAAGGATTGGTCCAACCTGTCTTGAACAAGGCCCAACCATTGATATAATATCTATCTAGGTTGGGCTGCTTGGAAATCCTCAACATATGCTGGACCTAGGCTTCATCTTGCAAAATGTGAACAAACCTGACTCTGATCTTGTGGTCAAATCATTAACAGACTGGCCGTGACAAGGGCAGGATGATACGTGCTCCTGTACATGGCATTCAACATATATAAGCTGCTAAATTGAGCTTGAACTCAGGACTACGTACTAATAGGTTTATCCATCGAGAGTTGATGCTGTATAGGCCCAGTCCACATCAATGGCGTGTATAAGCCCAACTCCATGAAAACGAAATAACTAAGGGTGGCTATTTGAATAAATATATATATTACTTTGTGAAACGCGTAGAGTGATCAGACGGTGGGGGCTAGTGACTGACGGTGGTCTTTGTTTGGCGCCTTAGTGAGTGGGGTAGGTTATGCTGGTTTCAGTCTTCTAACACTAACAACAGCATTTCTAAATCCAAGGAATTCATTTTAGTTGATTTCAAATTTGTAGGTCCATATTCCTGTCTATAACAAAACCAAGATCACTACTTACCGTTAATAGGTTGGGCAAATGGGTTATACAGCCAATTTTTCGGTTGGGCAAAATTAGAATCCTATTTCCATTCTTAATGGAATGACATTCTCTTATTTAAGGGAATGGTCATTTTCTCCCTTCCCTTTGGGAGTAAAATCTCATTCTAAATTATTCCAATTTTCATTTTAATTCTCATCCAAACAAAAAAAAAAATTATAGAAATAGATCATTCCAATTTCGGTTTCAAGAAATTATAATTCTGATTCTAATTATGAACCAAATGAACCCTTAAAACCCAACCTTGGCTGGTTGTATCTGGTTACAACATCATCATCTAAGCCTTGTCCCAATGATATAAGATTCGATTACAGGAACCCTATTTCACCATTCAATTCTGTTCAGTGTCCTGAAGCGAAAAAAAAAAAATTCTCTTCAGTGTCGCATTCATCATTAAATAAGGAATACTTAAATAATTTTTAATTATGTATAACTAAGCCCTTTTCTAATTTCTTTACTGTTGATTAATAAGTTCGTTTAACATGTAACACATCACTAGTTTCTTCTAATGAATGCCGTAGATGATTTTCTATGCACGTGACAAAAAAAATTAATGCACATGTCACATTTATGTGATGGATGGAGGCATTTTAAAATTAAGAAGAAATAAGAAAAACACAGTACTAGACTGATAATTAAGAAAGATTTCAATCTGTGAGGAGCATAATTAGTTATTAGACCCACTTATTATCATAAAAATAAAAAAGGAGCATTAATTCAGACAGTGTTGTACTTGTACAAGAAAAAGGAGTCGTCTGGTTGGTGAAGTTATTAAAGGAGGTGGACGACCCGACGGTGCAGCAGCACATGCATGCAATGGACCCACACGTATCCATGTCCCTCCACCCCCATTCCCATATGGCTTCCGCCATCTCCTCAATCCTCATTTGTCATTGACACACACTGCAATATATAGCATTATTATTATTATTTATTCATCCTTACTTAGCTCATTAATTAATAACTAGCTTCATTTTGAAGAAGAAGAAGAAGAAGTCAGCTTCAGAATAGAGAGATATGGCAAACAGCAAGCAAACTGTGAGTGGGAGTAGTCATGGCCGGCGGAAGAGTTCTGGGTTGGCCTTGGCCATGCTCCTCAGGCTTATCAGTAAAAGGCTTCAGAGAGGCTTCTCATCAGTCCCAGCGTTTAGGAGGGTGGCTCCCAATCCCAGAGGCGAGCTTGAGTTCGACCACGGGCTGGTGCCAGCTGACGTGAAGGAAGGACACTTTGCGGTTTTTGCGGTGAAGGGTGAGGAGCGGAAGAGGTTCGTCGTTGAATTGGCTTACCTCACTGACCCTCACTTCTTGAGATTGCTGAGTCTGGCAGAAGAGGAATTTGGGTTCAAACAACAAGGAGCGCTTGTGGTTCCTTGCCGCCCGGACGACCTCCACAGAATCCTAGTTAGAGGGAAGACAACGCCGCCAGAGATTTCTTAAGCCGGTGATACTGCGCTCAGCCGGCCATCGTGTGAATTCAATGAGAGCAAAGAGCTACCTAGTAATTAACAGCAAATGTGCATGCTGTAAATAAATAATATATATATATATATATATAAAGCATTATATATATTCGCGCGTTGTAATTAAATTGGACTATTATTTCATGTTGCGTTTGGATGATGAGCTTCAAGGTTTTTTGCTTTTAAGGGCTTAAATTAAAAGTGTTTCTGGTTTTAAATTATTATTATTAATTGTAGCTCTAATTCTTACCAAATGCTAGCTCAAAGCACTTTTTTTTTACTCAATTTTGTTAATTTTCTACAGCCCATAGCTTAAAAGCAAAAAAACGTATCCAAAAGGAGCTTAATTAAGTTGGTGCTTGCAAATTAAAACACTCTCCTAAGTTGCCAACTAATGGAGTTCATGCATTAAACAGAGATGAGATTAAGATGAATACACAGGCCGTGGAGTCAAGGATAATGCACCAAGCCAGTCATCAAAAACGCATACCCCACAACCACCCATTCTCTACGTTAGCATTTATGGCCGGCTTCGAGAGTTTGTCATTCGTTCTACCATTGTATTCCGTTAAAGGCCCATTTAGTTTGGGAATAGGGATTTGGAATCGGAATGGCAATTGTTTGGTTGGATAGAATCGGAAGTTCATTCTCATTTCTGGTGGAATGGAATTTCCTCATTTGAAGAAATGGTCATTCCCTCTCTGTTCCTTAGAAATAAAATCCCATTCTTCTTATTCTTTGAATCAAACAGACCTCAAAATGGAATTTCCTCATCTGATTCCCACAAATTTTGATTCTAATTCCGATTCTGATTTCAACTATAAACCAAATAGACCTGAAAATGAGCTAATAAATAAACCTATTCCAACATTCATGAAAATCCAGATAATTTTAGCTTTTAATTACTTTTCTCAAAATACAATTTTAGAAAGGTGAGGAAATGTTCCAGTATTTATAGAAAAAAAAAAAACTTAGAAAGGTTGAAATTAAGATTATTCCCTGTAAATATTAATGAATTCACATCTAGTACTGCCAATAAAACACGGACATTGACACACGTTTCAGGAATGAAGCTCACAATTGCCTACCCCAACTAAAACACAGACATGCCAATGGACTCACATCTGCCGCGACAAATGTTGCAACCTTCAATTGAACGCGGATATATGCCAGCGATGAAACGTAGAAATTTGATATTAAATATTAAACAATTACTGGCATCTCCGCATAATATATTTTATTTTGGGGTCACCAAAAATATTGTTGCAATGGTGTTCACATACATCATAATCTGAATGTGATCTTTCCAGGATTGATTTCGCGTTGTGACCATGGATATGTTTTCTGAGATGACTTTTCTCATCCCCAATAATACAACACAAACAGATAACCATCAAATAAGTTTATGTTTGGTTTGAAAGAAAAGGTAGGGAAATTTATACAAAATTTACAAAGGTTTTTCTAATTTTCCCTCCCTTTTCCCCACTTTTTCCTTCAAACTAAACATAGCAAGAAAAAAAAAAATCTTCATTTATCTTTGTCTCAAATATTTATTTTATTGTACAATTGAGAATAACAATGCTACGAAATTGATATCAATACAAAGGAAGTATGATGTGATAAGTGAAAGGGTATAGAGAATTTTAAATTGTTGTTAAGTGTAGATGAAGTAAAAATTTATAGGATGGTTTGAATGTGATTTTCTACGAAAAGTAGATCATTTGAAATTTTGCATTTAAAATACTTGTTACACCTCAGCATCTTATGGTGATTTGCAATAAGTGTTACGACCATGGTAGCAACACATGTGAACATTTTAGTGTTTTATCTGTCATTGGCGAGCCTGTGTTTCATTAGGGGATCCAAGATTGTTGTACGATGACCATACAGTTTGTTTTGGATATATATATAGAGAGAGAGAGAGAGGTAGGTTTGGAGAAGGTTTTAATTTGTAAATTTTATCCATCTCTTTAAATCTCTTAATCCATATCTATCCAAAACCCGTAATGGGTTGGATTTTGAGAATCCAAATCCTTCTCATACATGAAAATGTAAAACCCTCTCCATAATGACAGGTAGGGCGGGTTGGGTTTAAATGATCAATTATTTGATTAAAAATACACAAGTAAAACTCAAAATAGCATGGGCAATCAACAGAATTTTCAATTATTTGATTAAAAATACATAAATGATCAGTTATTATTCACATAAAATTCAAAATAATATTAAATTCAACATCTAATACATAAAGTTCATATGGTATCCAACAATTTGTGCTTTAGGGAGGGTCAGTTTTAGCCTAACACCATACTTTATGGGTTATAGAATTCCAAAACTAATCCTTCAAGCAAAAGAACCTGCCCCAATGGGATAGGTTCCCACCAAGTAGGGTAAAAGTTGTCATCCTTACTAAACACCAAATAGCTTTATTGAACTTTAACAAGCTTCCCTAACGCCAATTAACCAACCCAAGCCTTACCTAAACTTGGGTGCAACCTGAGTACCAAATTTTAGTTGGAGCTGGGCCAGGTTAAATTGAACTTCACCTTAGGCTTGTTCTAGGATGGGCCTAGGTTGACCTTTAAACACCATGCATCAAGCGCATGGTTCGAAAATCAAATCGGATTGAACGGTTGGACCGATTGACCCAAAAACTGGTCAAGTAATGATTTTATTTTATCATAAAATTACTTTTTAGCTAAAAACTGTTGATTTAATCAATGACATACTAACCCTGGTGGTAGAATTGTTAATCTATCGAACTAAATGATCAAACTGTTCGATGTAAAAACCGGTCTCCATAATGTTTCCAAGTTTTTAAAACCTTGGTCAAGCCTATCCAATTTTGTACCCCTAAAATGTGCAGAATTGTAGGAGGCTATTCTTTGTAATGAGCAAGGCCTTACTTGCATCCTGCAGTGTCCCCACTCTAGGGGATCCATCTAACCTTTTCCTATAGTAAAGTTATATACTTGATTTAGATTCCATGATATATATATATATATATAAGTGATAACCGTTGATTCAAAATAGACTATGTCATATAATTAATACAAGTTTGCATATACCAACAAAAAAAAAACAATATTTTTTTTAATTGACGTTCGGCTTAATAGCTTTACATCCGTACAAACAATATCGTCAACGCCGGTTCCGGTTAGTTAAAAAATTAAAAAACCAAAAAATCCTTAAATTAATTGCTGGTGCATATATAACTTCATCGTGTAGCGTCCGTACTTTCCGTCATTCCGTGGCTTCACGTCCAAATCACCATCCAACGAATGGTGATACTGATACGGCTTCAGGAGAAGCTGCATGGAATTCAATTGACCATAACTCTAAGATTCATCTGGTCTCATTCATCAGCTAGACTGCTAGAGGTAAATTAACGGGAGGATGAGAAATGGAAAAGGGTGACCCACACTAAACTGATTTATCGTCATCCATGAAAATTTGGCCAGATCGATGGATGCCAACATTGGTGTCGTTTAGCAAATCTGTTTTTTTTTTTTGAAAGATTTTTCAATAGATTTCATAATCCATAGATTTTAACAACATGAAGACTGTTAGGTTAAAGATGGGTTTTTTTTGCACTCTTTCTGTACAAAGACATAATAAGAAAAGTTCCATTTAGAATTTTTCAAAAAAAGATGAAAAGTTTTATTTCATGCGTTTTTTTGGACATCATCTTTTGGCGGTTAAATCTTTTCCCAAATAAATAGAAAAAGACCAAAATATGAACTTTTAAATTTCTAAACAGTCAACAGTCTACATAAAAAGACATGCCAAACAAAGCCAATGTTTGTTAACTTGCTAAAAAGATACTGATTTTTTTTTCTAGGCCCTCTATAGTCCTGTCCGATGCAATAAGGAGAGAAATGACCTGACCCATCAACAGTACGGGATGCAACTTGGGGGGATCCAACCCAAAACCGGATCAATTCAGCCCACAATTTTATATGGGCTAGACTTGAACTTTTAGTCCTCGGGCTGGATTTGGGCCCAAAAGTTCGTTTATAGATATATATATATTTGCATACATGCATAAATAAATTTATTTCTAGAGCATTACTAAAACATGTGACCATCCAGTAAAGTTTGGGGATTAAAAGGATTAAAAAGAAATGTCAAGTCTCATCAGTTTCTTATAATTAATACATTTTAAAAATCAACCATTTATTCTACACAAATTTTTTTATGTGCAATATAACTAAACAAAAATTATTATTTACCAATTTTCAGAAAATCATTCAGTTTCTCCTTCATTTTGCAAGCACTATTGAAATCGAGGGAAAATGAAAGTACAAAAGTAAAAACAACAGGCAAGAGTGCTATAAACTGAAACCATTCAGTTTCGCCTTCAACTTTCTAACAGTTGCAACTAGACCCCCTTTGTCAGAAACCTATAACAAGAGCCACAAAAATATCCAAAACATTCTTGCAATTATTATTGATGTTGATTTCTACAGAAAAAGCAATACAAACTTTATGAGCAACAAAAAAAGAGTTTAAAGTTACAGCTTTACTTTTGAGATTGGAAGGGTTTGGGATGACAATTGATATAAAGAGAAAACTTGGAAAATAAACATTTTGGTCAACAGTAACTATATGGGTATTTTGGACATTTTTATGTCTCGTTAGAGGATTCTACCCAAGGGAGTCTATGTACTCACAACTACGTTAAAAAGATTAGGAGAGGTGATTGCAATTACCAAACTTGAGGGAAAGTTTCAATAATGGTCAAAAACTTTAGGGGAGGTTTCAGTAATATACCATACTTCTTTATAGAGGAATAAGCATAAAACCACCACTTGAGTGCTCAATCAATTTGTTAGTAACAAATTGACAAAGCATGCAAACAAATACACCATTCTCACCACCTAGTATGATAACTTTAATTTGTTAAGCTGTAGGGATGACAACGGTCAAGTTTAGGGAGGGTTTTGTAAATTCTAGAACTTGTAGTGGGTTGGATTTTGAGAATCCAAACCCTCCCCACACATGAAAATCCAAACCCCTCCCT